CCCATCTCTACTAAAAATACAAAAATTAGCTGGGCATGGTGGCGCATGCCTGTAGTCCCAGCTACTCAGGAGGCTGAGGCAGGAGAATTGCTTGAACCCAGGAGGCGGAGGTTGCGGTGAGCCGAGATCATGCCATTGCACTTCCAGCCTGGGTAACAAGAGTGGAACTCCGTCTCAAAAAACAAAAAAACCAAAAAAACAAAAAACAAACCAAGGCATTAAAAAGTTTTTTGTTTCACTTCATTTAAGGATAAGGTCTAGCCAGGCACAATGGCTCACACCCATAATCCCAGCACTTTGGGAGGCTGAAGCAGGTGGATCACTTGAGCTCAGGAGTTCAAGACCAGCCTGGGCAACATGGTGAAACCCCATCTCTACAAAAAATGAAACAATTAGTCAGGTGTGGTGTGTGCTTGTGGTCCCAGCTACTCAGGAGGCTGAAGTGGGAGGATCACCTGAGCCCAGGAATTCAAGGCAGTATTGAGCCTTAATTACACCACTGTACTCCTACCTGAGGGAGACCCTGTCTCAAAAAAAAAAAGATAAGGGTCTATTCTTTATCTCATGGAAATATTAAAACTAGTTGGGAGAGAAAGCAATTTGCAGTGGGTGGAGGGAAGCCTTCATGGAGCGGTGACTTGGTGAAAATAACAAAGACATTCACTATTGTTCTTGTCCAGGGAGGTTTGACCAGCTTTTGAAAAACACAGTGGAGCTGGCCATCAGCTATTAAAACGTTAAGAGTTTCATGAATAATTGGGTAGTTTAAAAAAGAGAGAGAGTAGGAAAATCCTACTCAGTGGGAAGAATTAAATTTTTTCACATATTTGTGAAAATATTAAACACCAAACTACTTCTAAACTATATATAAGGTCAACAGTGGGGGGAGGTAAATAAGTTATATGTCTTCAGTAGAATATTACACAGTCATTAAAATACTTTTGAATTGAATAATATGGGCATACGTTCAGGATATAATAGAAAACGTAGGAGAGGAAATCATTTGCTATATGATGCTAGTTTGTATTTCAGATGTCAGATTTTATTAAATATATTCCTTCAATAAACACTTACTGATACATCACAGATGTTAATAGTAGTTTCCTCTAAGGAGGGGGACCCAAGTTAATTTCTTAATGCTTATCTGAAGTTTTCAAAAATGTCCACATGAAGCATATTGGACGTCACTTTTATCGACATAAAAACAAAACATGCCATTACCCAGCTAGACACACAGAGAATCATGTGATACTGTCTTGATTTGTCACATGCAGACATGTTTTTAATTATGAGGCCTTCCTGCTGAGGCTCTGGAGATGAACTAATCCCACCCTTGCTCTACACGTGTGCCCCAGATATGCAACATAAGTGGACCAAGCTCACACAGCAGGCTCCTGGCGGTGCCAGGTAACAACTCGACTCTCCTCCTGCCAGTCCAGGCTCCCCTCGCCGCACCACGGCTGTACAGGAGGTGGTTGCTGGTGAGCTACTCTCCTTGAACTGCTCTGCTCTCTTGGTGAACACAAAGGGAAATGCAGTGGGTGGGGGTGAAATGTAGAGATTCTCCTTCCAAAAGGAAGAGGTAACCTCTCACCCACAGATAGGACAATCAAATGCAGCTTATCTGTTAAAACAAAGTTGAAAAAACAATGAAGAAGTCACCTCATTCCAGACAGGGTTCAATTCATTATCAACTTTCTTTGTTTTCTTTTTCTCATCTGCAAAAGAGATAAAGGAAGACATATCAATCATTTATAAAAAATTAGAGGAGAGAGATCCAAGATGGCTGATCACTAGCAGCTCAGGATTGTAGCTCCCCGTGAAAGCGTAGAGAACAAGAGGACGCCACATTTTCAGACTAATTTTGGTTGCTCACAGACCAGGAGATTACCAGTGGAGGAGCCTCACGGGTCGCCAGTGCGACTCTTGTGGCCGGCGCTGCGGTTCTTGGTGCAGAGTAAACGAGACTGGGTTTCCTTTTGGCTGATATTTGGAGCTCGAGAAGGCAGAATCGCCTATTCAGCTGATTGAAGAATGGACTCAAGAAGGAAGCCAGACCAGAGATTCCCAGGCAGAAAAGCACCACAAATCTTAACGCCGCTGTTTTAGTCGGCCCAGTGGGTTGTCAGATTCCGGCGCTGGGAATCAACAAGTTGGACATCCACTCCGAAACCTAATTAGAAAGTCAGTAATTATAAAGACCACAGATGGATAAATTTATAATGAAGGTAAGAAACCAGCCTAAAAAGGCTGAGAATACCCAAACTCAGAACGCCTCTCCCTCTACAGGGGATCACAGTTCCTCATCAGCAACAGAACAAGGCCTGATGGAGAACGAGTGTGTTCCATTAACAGAAATATGCTTCAAAAGGTGGTTGATAAGAAACTTCTGTGAGTTAAAAGAACTTGTTCTAACCCAATGCAAAGAAACTAAGAACTTTGAAAAAAGGTTTGACGAAATGCTAATGAGAATAGACAATTTAGAGAGGAATATAAGTGAATTGATGGAGCTGAAAAATACAACATGAGAATTCGTGAAGTATGCACAAGTTTTAACAGCTGAATTGATCAAGCAGAAGAAAGGATATCAGAGGTTGAAGACCAATTTAATGAAATAAAATAAGAAGACAAGATTAGAGAAAAAAGGATAAAAATGAATGAGCAAAGTCCTCAAGAAATATGGGACTATGTGAAAAGACCTAATCTACGTTTGATAGGTGTACCTGGATGTGACGAAGTGAATGAATCCAAGCTGGAAAATACTCTTCAGGATATTATTCAGGAAAACTTTCCCAACCTAGCAAGGCAGGACAATATTCAACTCAAGGTAATACAGAGAACACCACAAAGATATTCCTCAAGAAGACCAACCTCAAGGCATATAATCGTCAGATTCACCAGGGTTGAAATGAAGGAGAAAATACTAAGGGCAGCCAGAGAGAAAGGTCAGGTTACCCACAAAAGGAAGCCTATCAGACTCACAGCAGATCTCTCAGCAGAAACCCTACAAGCCAGAGGAGAGTGGGGGCCAATATTCAACATCCTTAAAGAAAAGAACTTTCAACCCAGAATTTCCTATGCAGCCAAACTAAGCTTCACAAGTGAAGGAAAAATAGAATCTTTTGTGAACAAGCAAGTACTCAGAGATTTCATCACCCCCAGGCCTGCTTTACAAGAGCGTAGTGCTTTGAAAGGAGCACTATACGTAGAAAGGAACAATCAGTATCAGCCTTTCCAAAAATATACCAAAAAGTAAAAAGCATCAGCATAATGAAGAATTTACATCAATTAATGGGCAAAACAGGCAGCTAACATCAAATGGCAGTATTAAACTCACATATATTATTATTAATCCTAAATTTAAATAGATTAAATCCCCCCATCAAAAGAAACAGCCAAAACCCATCGGTATGCTGCATCCAGACTCATCTCACATGCAAGGATACGCAAAGACTCAAAGGGATGGAGAAAGATTTACCAACCAAATGGAGAGCAAAAATAAATAAATAAATAAATAAATAAACAAAAAGCAGGAGTTGCAATTCTCGCCTCTGATTAAATTGACTTTAAAGCAACAAAGATCAAAAGAGGCAAAGAAGGACATTACATAATGATAAAAGGATCAATGCAACAAGAAGAGCTAATGATCCTAAATATATACGCACCCAATACAGGAACACCCGGATACATAAGACTTATAAAGAGACTTAGACTCCCACACGATAATAGTGGGAGAATTCAACATCAATATTAGACAGATCAACGAGGCAGAAAATTAATAAGGATATCCAGGACTTGAACTCAGATCTGGAACAAGTAAACTTAATAAACATTTATAGAACTCTCCACTTTAAATACACAAAATATACATTCTTATCAGTACCACATCACACCTACTCATAGGTTTAAATGAAATATTGGTTGGCTGCTTGTTTGTTATTTTCTTTCCTCATTTTTTTCCTGTCTCCATTATTAAGCACAATTATTGACATAAAAGAGGTTTTCAACACCCATTTTTAGACTGCATTCTAGCCTGGGCAATAAAACAACACTCCCGTTCTCTCTCCCTCTTTCTCTTCTTCATTCTTTTTTCTTTCTTTCTTCCTTTTTCTTTCTTTCTCTTTCTTTTTTTTCTTTTTTTCCTTAAAAAAAAAAAATTAAAGAACATGTGCCATTCATTGATTCTAAGGACATTACCTGAGGGTTTACTTGCACCCACATTTCCCCATTCATCTGCTTAGGATGGGCATGAGCCACTGCACCTGGCCTTCATCTAATCTTAACCCTAGAAGGATCCAGGCCAAGGTAATGCACGGCTGTAATCCCAGCACTTAGGGAGGCCAAGGTGGGAGGATTGCTTGAGCCTAGGAGTTCAAGACCAGCGTAGGCAACATAATGAAACCCCATCTCTACAAAAATATAAAAATTAGCTGGGTGTGGTGGCACATGTCTGTAATTCCAGCTGAAGTGGGAGGATCCCTTGAGCCCAGGAGGTCAAGGCTTCAGTGAGCCAAGATCACACCACTCCAGCCTGGGAAACAAAGTGAGACCCTTTCCCAAAAAACAACAACAACAACAACAAAAAAAACACCACTAGGAGGGATGTATTACTATTTTCATCCCCCTTTCACAGCTAAGGAAACTGAGAAGCTGAGTAACATATTCAGTCAGTTGGCCGGGTGCAGTGGCTCACACCTGTAATCCCAGCACTTTGGGAGCCCAAGGCAGGCATACAACTTGAGATCAGGAGTTCAAGACCAGCCTGGCCAACATGGTGAAATCCCATTTCTACTAAAAATACAAAAATTAGCCAGGCGTGGTGGTGGGCACCTGTAGTCCCAGCTACTCGGGAGGCAGAGGCAGGAGATTCACTTGAACCCAGGAAGCGGAGGTTGCAGTGAGCCGAGATTGCACCAGCGCACTCCAGCCTAGGTGATAGAGTGAGATTCAGTCTCCACTAAAAAAACAAAAAACAAAGTCACCCAGTCAATAAATGGTACTGCTAGGATTTGAGACCCAGGCAATTTCACATTGGTGGCCACACTTCGAGTCACTCCTCCGCCATCGCTTCTCCTCTCCTGCTATGGAATGCAGGAGGCAGGGGGTTTTGTTTCGCTAATGTCACATTGCTTTGGCTCCCAGCACACAGCTGCCTGTGGGACTAACCACCTCATTCTTCCAAGACCTCAGCATAGCAAGGCTGTGAGTCATGGCCCTCACTCTGCCAAGCATTAACTTTTCCACTTGAGAGGGCAACACACAGCCCAATGGCTCTCTTCCCGTTTCAGCATGCCCTACTTGTCGGCTCATGCCCAGACCTATACTGGCTGGTTCTGCCTGTGCTCTTTCTAGTGGCCTACAGAGCCCCTCACTGCATCTGACTCTGAGGTACCCTAGAAGCTGCCCTGAAGCTTCCCCTCCCACATTTCCATTTTCACCCCACCCATCCCTCTCCTCATCTGACATAAACTCCCAGCCCTCCTCTCTGGTTCCAGTATAAGGAAGTGCTCTTGAGAGAAAGAGGAGACATGCAAAGGATTTTTTTTTTTTTTTT